AAGAACGAGTGCCAGGGAAGCAGCTAACGCAGGAGTCATGAGAGTGTCAGCAAGTGTACGGGAGTGAACGAGAGAGAGTGAGGGAGAGAGTGATGGCTTCCGGACCCTCTCCTCGCCTCTGCCCCCAGCATGACGTACTATGGGATGAAATACTCCCTTGGTCAGTTGGGGTCAGGTGCCTGAACTGTGTGTCCCAGCACTGCCTGTAGTGAGACAGCGAGAGCTGGGAACGCAGCTGCAGGATCAGAAGGGGAGAAAGACCTTGAATTCAGTGCAGGCATTGCCCAGCGCCAGCTGAGAACTGATCAGTGCTGCTCTCTGCATCCAGGAACAGCTTCCTAGCAGCCACCGTAAGGAGAGTTAACTCCTTCCTGACTGAAACCAGCACTGTCAGCAAGCTCCTTGGATGGTCTGGCACCAAGTTCAAGTGACCAGCTATACCCCTGCTGTGGGGACTTCTCTGCCTGTAGACAGACAGTGACCGTGTTGGAGCATGTGTGTGATGAGTGTTTCTAGACATGGTCAAAATGCAGTTTAACCTTGATCTGATCATACGGATCAGACCAACTGCTGCCGAAACATGTGGCAGCAGCACTGCTCAGTACCATGGGAAACGTTTCGGTCAGTGGTGAAGTGTGTTTCAGTAACACCTGGGGGCTTGGGCTTTTGTCGTTAGGTTTCACAGCAGAGCAGGGATTAGTAGAAATAGGGCTTTGAGAAACTGATCTGCAAACGTGTGACAATAGTTTGATTTTATCTGTGTTTCATTTATTATTCTGAAACAGGATTTTTATGACGTCCCAAGTAAAGAACAGCAGCAGTGCTGGAGATGGTTTTGCCTCTTGGAGGGCAAGTCAGTGACATGTCAGTCATTAGAGAAGGATGGTGCTGAGCCAGAGTCATTTTTTTATCCAGAAGGAGCCAACATGAGGCTTATCCTAAGCACAGGCAACTAGATATGTTGCTGCGGATGCTGCAGCTATCCAGCTGGTGCAGTGGCAGAAGCAGGGAGGAAGGAGCAGAGCCTCCCTTCGAAGATGTGGCAGGGAGGCAGCTGGCTGTTTTCTGGTGAGGGAGTAGGAGATAGATGCCTACATCAGACCCCAGCACCTCCACCCTTTTATAGTCAGTGGAGAAGAACAGCTGTTTTTAGGGCAAGATTCATCCTGTCATAACACAGGAGCTACCACTGAGCAGAGAAATTGTGCCCTGGAAATACTCATTTCTCGCTGTTGGCTCTGAGGGAAATCTGGGGTTACTAGCTCATGTCCAAGCTTTTGCACTGCAGTTGTCTGAAGTTAGGAGAGATGTTCTTCAGCCCCAGTGTCCGTGAGCTACAGCAGGATGAGAACACTGAAATGGTCTTACTTGCATCTTCTCTACCTAAAATCCAGAGTTTTTACCTGCATATGAAATTGTTAAACAGGTACTTGCAGAGCTTGCAGATGACAGGAGCCTGAGTGGAGCATCATGTGGTTGTAATTTTTAAATTTCTTTAATGTAGTTTTAATTTTTTTCTAATGTAATTACATATACAAGCATACAGTACATATATGTAGCTTTATCTCAAAAGTTACATACAGTGACATATTACTGGAATTGGTGTGCTTAAACTATTTTTGTAGCATCAATTCTGTCTTCTTAATGAGGCTGCATAGGACCATCTTCCTTCTAGTTTCTGGAACACATTGTTGAAAATAAAGTCTTTCTAATTCATACCATGTTTTATTTTTCGTCTCTCTACAGTGATTCATCTTTTTCACTGATTTGGCTTTTATTTGATCAAATCTATTTGTTCACTCTTGTCTGGAAGGAAGTAGGATCTGGGACTTCAGGGTCAGTAAACAAACAGGTTGCGCGGTGCGGACACGATGCTTTCTGAGGGACGTCAGGGACCTCTTGGCCACCAGTGGTTCCCGGTTTCTCAGCCCAAGCCAGATGCAGCCTCAGAGAGAGGTGGCCACAAAGGTGTGGAGTAGAGCTGTCCCATTGTTTGACTTGATACATGCCCATCCTCTGGCAACGTGATTATGAAAGGGCTTTAACTGGTCTGCCCTTCGTTCAGTTTTGTTGATCTTGTACTGTGTTGTTCTGTTTTGAAGCTTACGTTTGGTAGAGTAGGTAGGTTATTTGTGGGGGGTTTGCCTTTGGTTTTGTTGGGTTTTTTTTGTTGTTTAGCAGACTGTCCATGATAGAAGCCCATAAAAATGCTCATTTTGTTTCCAAGTTCTTCCTTTTTACGGATTGCCCTTTACCACAGTTGTTGCTGAGACATGTTTTATAAAACACAGAGCAATTTAAAGTGGTAATTACTGCCTTTTAAAACTTCTGATTGCACTTTCTACTTTCAGTACTTGCATTCCAGACTCTTTTCTAGGAGAGGCTTACTTCCATAGCAGTTGCCTGTGTTGAGCCAATAGCTCTGATATCATTTTCCGTTGGTGGCGGTGTGTGTAGTGGCAAGATTGTGAGACATAAGCAATCCCTAAACGAGCTCATAATCATATGGTTGGGTTTTTTTTTCTTGTGTGGTTAAATAAAGGAAATGTTTGATCTGTGCATAGCTCTGCCCTTCTGTGAAGGGTGAGACCAAATGTACATACATTGGTTTTCTCAGGAACATGCTTTAACAACTTTTTGGTTTATTTTCTTGGTTTTGAGCTTGCTGCATTCATAATGTGATTTATTTTTATAGTGAGAGAGCCTTAGAGTTACTCTAGACTTTCTTCGAGCCTGCTCTGCTATCATTAGCTATGACTTTCCTCCTGCAAATGAAATTTTAAAAGACTCACTTTGGAAAATACTGTGTTTGTTCTAAGTGGTATTTTCTGAAAACCTCTTCCTGTTGAATGGTTGCCTTTTCAGAGAGTGTGCATCTTAATATTATTACCAATCAGCTTGATTTCTGCTTTCCTAGCTCCCCCTTTTATTCTGTGTCTGATGCAAAATAACTATTGAGACAGAAGATGTCTGAAAGCAGACTTGGGAAGGAAAGTGGGGGGGGAAGTAATGTCAGATGACTAAAGTTGTAGTAATTACAAAGGGAAAGTATTACAGCTTGTATATCAAGCACTCCCTGTTACACCCCTTGCTCTTGTGTCCCCCAAAATTCCGATCTTCAGCTACTGTCTCGTGGGAAACTTGGTGCCTGTGAAAGCTTCCTTACAGCTACAGGACTGCTCCACCCCCAGCTTGGTGGGAAGAGCAAAAGATGAAGGTGCTTGCAGGAAGTTGCTTGCCCAGTGTTACTGCCAGCAAAATTTAACATTTACTGTGCTGTGCAACTCTATCATCACCTTTTATGCTGCCCAGTGGTGTCGTGGGAACGGGATTACCTGCTGGCGTGAAGTCAGTGTATTAGGTACTACAGTGACATTCAGCCTCTGACCTGTAGCGGGACACTGCTGCTGCCTGGGGGTGTGTGCTAAAAATCATCTCGTTCTTTGGTGCTCCCTCCTGCCGGGCTAATGTTCAGGTGATGTGCTATAGGTCTTCTGAAGGATTAATCATAAGTGGTTAGATTGGATGTAGTGTAACTACCATCATTTTAATTGTATTTTTTTCCACCCCCCAGCTTGGTGATCCATCTATTTTCCCTGCTGTCATCGTGGAGCATGTTCCTAGTGCAGACCTCCTCCACAACTACTCTGGCTTAACCTGCGTGGATGAACCTAGTGACATGATCACTGACAGCTCACTGGACGTTGCAGAAGAGCAAATCATAGAAGATGACGATATCACCCTCACAGGTAGGCAGTAAAAACATTTCTGTGCTGCGGTTTTGCACCAAAATGGCTGTGGCTAATGGTGGAAAAAGCTCGGTGACAAAAATCAACAGGAAACAAAATTGGGGTAATACAAGACGGAGAAAATGGCATTAATACCATTAGCAGGTGGCTTGCGGTCCCAGCTGATAACGGTGAAGAGTGTCATCCAGCAGCAGAGATTAGGTCCTGCTCAGAGTACCAACAAGATTTTATTTTGGTCTCCTTAGGATTTATTTGCTCCTATTTAATGGTTGGTTCTCTATCCCAACTAAAACCAGCACAGTACCTGGGTAAACATACATACCAAAGAGCAGGAATATGCAGCTCGAGATGATGTACTGCTTTTAGCTTCCCGAGGGTGTGTAAAATGTGCACGATGGCGTGGCTTACTGGTATAAGCATGCTCAGCATAGTATTCATTTTGGATCTCTGATAATGTTTAACACCTAAAATCCAGCTGTTGTGTGTAAATGCTGTTAGAAAAGGTAGTCCCAAAGAGAAAACAGTTCTCAAGAGGAAAGCTCCAAGTTACGTGACGGTTTTTTAAAAAAAAACACTGGATGCCTGTATTTGAAGCATTTTTGCAGAACCAGTCTGAAAGGTGGAGTAACGCTGCACAGTGTGAGGATCTGTTTCCGTCCGTGTCTTCTTTCAGCCATTAGGCTCCACCCCTGGATTGTCTCCAGAGCCAGCTTGCTGGTTTCAGTCCTGCTTTTGACGTTGTTTCCAAAGGCATACTCTGATACAGCCTCTTACCGCCAAAAGCAAAACAGAAACTCCACAGAACTTGACAGAAGGAACACTTCACAGGGTAAATTGACATGAGCTCTTCTTAGCAAACGGTTTTATCTGATAAATAGGGCTCCTCTTCTTTTTTTTTTTTTAGTAGTAGTGTATTATCTGCGAACAGACTGTGACCGTACAAATAAGCAGCTGATTATTCAAGAAGTTTTTACATACTTAAACATTATTTCAAGCTGAGACCTCTTGCCAACTATTCACTTGCTATTCATATTAATTATTCACACTGCAACTGGCACTTCCTCAGCGTGTTACTTAAGCACCGCTTAATGCGACCATGTGAATTTTTCGCAGTGGATCGTTCTTACGAATCCATGTTCACTGGAATATGCTGTGTGTGAATTTTTGCTTGCATGAGTAATTGTGAAACTCCACTTTTCGTGAATGCTCTCCTTAACATTTTTTTTTTTTTTTGGCGTTGTTGCTGGTCACATGAGAAGGGTTTGCAAATTGCTGCCAGAGACCGAAAATATGTAATCCTTGTAACCGATGGTGTCCAAGGGTTTCTGGGATACTTCGGAGGCAGACAAGTACGGTATTGTTCCCATCATCCATTGTACTTCAAGCAATCTGGTTTTCTTTAAAGGCAAAGTCCTTCGAAAACCCAGAGCTGCCACTTTGCAGAGATTATTGATGTGAAAGAGACTATCTGTTTCACGCTCTCCATCCCACGAGCTACTTTTTCACACTCTCTGTCCCACTAGCTACTGTGTGTGCTGTGAGTTTCCTTGGAAAGGAAAGTGCTTGGTTTTGCAGCGCTGGATGAGCCCAGGCCAGGCAGGGACCAGCGGCGCTGCTGAAAGCTCCTCCTGGGGATGCAAGGCGGGCAGCACCGGCAGCTCAGCCCCCAGTTTCTGGCAGGGAGCCATCCTGCCTGACTCAAACGTGGCAGAATTTGGGGGCCCAGGGGTGCGAAGGCAATCCATGAGGTGAGGAGAGGGTGCTGGGGAAGGAGGCCTCTGTCACCTCCCTGCCTGCTGCAGTCAAGGTTCGGCTGTGGTCCCAGCTGCCCGCTTGAAGGTTGAGGCTGCTGTGGAAGAGATCCGGTGCAGGCATGGCTTGCTGTAGGCTGCCTCTGCAATGGGACTAATCATAACTGAAATTTCCCACCTACTCCTGTTTTTCAACCTTTTTTTTTTTCCCCCTCCCTTCTTTGAAGTTCCCCTCTATTTTTTTTCATGGGGCGTGTTTGGTCTCTGCAGTGAAACGCGTTGTTTTGCCCTTTGAAGTTTGTACCGGTCTTTTCAGTCGCTTCCACGTTACGCCTTTGAGAAAGGATCAGACATTATAAAGACTCTACTAATTCCACAATAATATATTCATAAGACTGAAGTCCACAGCAAAACGAAACTGAAACCATCATCGTTTGTGACTAAACATCGCATAGAAATAGCTGCTTAATGTGAAGGATTTGGGTTTTTTTAAACTTAGCGTTTTTTTAGTCCCGTTTTATGATTCTGTCATCTATTAAGCTTCTCTCTTCTTCTGAACTAACAGAAATTAGCAGTAGGTCTCCTGAAACTGAAGCAATTAGTTTTTAGGGATGATGGATGCTGGTGGGTTTTTTTCCATCTGTGGAATGTAGCTTCAGCTCTTCAAAACCACAACTATCACAACGTGGGTGATTACTTACCAGTAGTGTAAATTATAGCCAGCAGATAACTGTAAGAACAGCATCTGTTTCACACGCAACCTTGCTGAAAGATGGCTGACAACCAGCTTTTTAGATATGTTAAGGCTTACAGTTTAATTTTTGTGTAATGTATAGTCAGACTTGTCTTAATACTGTCCTCTTCAAAACCCCTTTTCCCTGGAAAAACTGCAATGGCAATTTACATGGTCACTTTGTTGCCAGTATTATAGGACTTCAAATGATTAATCATCATGTAGTGAAGGGTGATTAAGAAAATTAATAGGAGCATCTGGCTGTGACTGAAGTTTTATCTCTAAAGAGAATATCGAATTTTATTTTATTTTTCTGAAAAATACAGGGGATATTGTTTTGTGCAGAATAAATTCTAGGCCAGATTATCAAGTTGTAAAATTTGCTACAATTTATTTACCTTCTTAATATAACAAATTACAATTACAAGATATGTAGGAAGGAGGAACTAACTGGGTTATGTAAGTACTGAAAAAAATTTTCTCATTAGTATTTTTTTTTTAACTTTGCCATGTCTATACAGTTTAGTGTAGAAAAATAACAGTTAATCAAACTCTGCCACTTTGCCGTTCACCTGTTCTGGTGTTGTTTTGACAGGATCAGGGAAGTGGCAGCACTGAGACAGTCTGGGGGCATGAGGGAGGAGGGACAGAAAATTTGCATTTAGATGCCCCGTGCCCTGGTCTGAATCAGGAGCGTGAAAGTGTGTGTCTTCGTAGATCGATAATGGTGCTTAGTAACTGTTGCAGAAGTCATTTTACAGCATTTCTGCTGTAAAGTTGGGTAGTGTCGTGGTTTAACCTCGGCTAACGATTAAGTACCATGCAGCTGCTTGTGTGGAGGAGGAGTACTGGAGGAAAAGACAAGGAAGCTCGTGAATTGTGATAAGAACAATTTAATAATTGAATATAAATCAGTGTTATAGTGCTGATAATAATATTAACAATACTACTACTAATACGATTGCTCATCACCCACTGGTCGATGCACAGCCAGGTCCTGAGAAGCGAGTCAGAGCCTGAGCCCGAGAGTGATTGCAGCAGAGGCCAAGTGAGCCCCACGAGCAAAAGCACAACTGGGAAAGCCAACTGACTTGCCAATTCGCTAGCACATGAGCAAGCTAGCTAACAAGTGAGCAAGCAAAGGAGCCATGGCCCCTTGGCCCACTCCCTGCTTATGTACTGAGTATGACATACTATGGAATGAAACCCCCCTTCAGTCAGTCTGGGTCAGCTGTCTGAACCGTGTGTCCCCCCACACTGCCTGTAGCAAGAGGGTTGGGAACACCGGTGCAGTACCAGAAGCGGAGACAGACCTTGAGTTTGTGCAAACACGCATTAGCACCACCGAGAGAAGCAGAGAGAGACCTTGAATTTGTGCAAACACGCCTTAGCACCACCGAAAAAGAAACCCTTATCACTGCTATTGTCAGGGCAAATCCAAAACACAGCCTGATACCAGCCACTGTGAAGAAAATTAACTGTCCTGGCTACAACCAGCACAGGTGGCGTTTGGCTTGTACATTTGGCGAAACTCCAGCATTCGTGGCTCAAGCCAAGCTGGTCAGGTAGGAAAAAGAAGGCAAGGAGGTGTCAGGTGCTGCACTCCTGCACCGACCCTGCATCTTCAGTGGTCATTTATGATGCTTTAAAGAAATCCAGAGAGCTAGATAGGTGGAAACAGAACCCCATGGTTGTTAATCTATGAGGATTTTTAGTTGATGTCACTCTCAGGAAGGCCATCAGCCATCAGGAGGTTGGCACTCTCCAGAGCTGCCAGCCACTGGGGATGCGACGGGAGCGAGATGGGGCTGCCAAAAGCAGCATAAAGCTCTCAAAAAAGAGGCTAGGCAGGCGCAGGGAAAGCAGGGCTTTGGGCTGAGGCAGGGAGCTTCCAGTGTGAGGCAGTTTCTTTCTCCACCGGGTGAGAGGAGCAGAAGGCTGTGTTTGGGCAAGCCTCGCGCCAACGGCCAGTGCTGATTCACAGCGAACCTGGATTGGCAGTAGCTGGGCTGTGATCGGTGTACAGGTACAGAGGCTTACGTTCATGGCTTGCTTAGATAAACAGAAACTTGTAGAGTACCCTGGGAAAAAAATCAACTTACTTTTGGGTGTGGTGTCCCCTCCCCTTCTGTTTTTCTCACCCCTTTTTTCTTCCCTCTTTTTTCATTTTTCCTTTTTTCTTTCCCTCTATTTTCTTTTCTCCCCTCTTGGTGTGTGGGGTTTTTTTTGGTTGTTTTTTTTTAAGTTTCTATCTACTTAAGATAACATCTGAAACCTGATGCTTCTCAGAAATGACCTCTCCCACCACTGTTATTTCAGCTCTGACTTTGCCAAAGTGTACCAAATAAGCTATTTCATCCCATTTCTTCTTAAATTTGTGACTGTATCCTAACTGCCCATTATTGTAATACTTTCTTCAGCACTAAGAGGAAAACTAAAATAACAGACATCAGCTTGCCTTTGGTAGCCGAGTTGGGTATCTCTGAGCGCTGTCTCAAGATGGGTGATGTGAATTAGCACTTTGCCACCAGGACAGAGGGGTGGTCCTTCATCTCCTCTGTGCAGTATCCCACACCTCGTTTGTGTTAGCTCTTGAGCTCTGGTAATTCAACTTCCTAGCCAGCAAAACACCAAAAAACTGCTTTTTAGACCTTTGATAAAACTGAATTGTCTCACTGCGTGACAAAAAAGCCTGAAGCCTGGCTTGTGTTAAGTGTCAGGAGTTTGGATTATGAGCAGGGGCAGAGATGGGAGGAAGAACCACAGCCCTTGTTTTTTAAGCAACAGGGAAATACTAATTTAGCTCAAACCACCTTGTGAAGTCATCATCTCAGAAGAGGCTTGAGGGGTGTTAGCAACGGATTGGTGTGGAAAGGTGTTAGCAAGGGCATTAATGTGGTTAAGAAACTTAACTTCTTAATCAAATTATATTAATTTCTGTGTTTACATTATTGATATGTGTCTATGTTTACATTATTGATATGACTATTACAAGTTCCTTTCCTTAGTCTTGGATATGAAAGGTTGATTTTTAGCCACACAGCATGACATCGATGTAAAGTTGGCAACCTCTTCCTTGCCTGGCATTGCTCAGAGTGAAGAATTGTCTGTGCTCCGTCACCTCAGCACCTGAAAGCAAGTGGTTTGCTGCTTGTACAGCTCTCGCCCAGGAAGGAGCAAACAGCAGCTGCTCCCTCCTCCCCACCTGCAGCATGGAGAACCAGGGGGTACCGCTGCTGGCTTTTAAATTGTTTGTGGCAGCGTAAACCAGCCCCGCTCAGTGGCTTCGGCTGAGCTGCATCATGGTGGGTTACCTGCCTGTCTGGTCAAACAATGTCACAGAATCGCAGAATCATAAAAGACCTTTAAGATCATCAAGTCCAACCATTAACCTAACATGGCCAAGTCCACCCCTAAACCAGAACTGATGATAGCTGCCTTGGCAGCGCGGTGTACCTGTATTTCGGGTGACACCCTTATGGTGGTCTTCATTCCGCTGGTACAGGGGTAGTGGGAAGTTCCCATCCAGACAAAATGTAAAACCAAGAGCCATGAGGTCGGCACCGCTAGGCCAAGCGTGAGCATGCCTGCAGACTGCATGGGCTGTGCTTGGTGCAGTCTCCTCTGCAGCTGGCCAGGCATTCCCTAGGGATGCTGTTTGGCTCCTGAGGCTAAGACTCTGCGGCTGAACTCCTGAGCCTGCAAGCTGCACAACAAAAGTGTCAGCAGTTTGCTGCCCCATCTCTCTGCCTTCCCAAACCCCGGGATCTTAGTCTGTGCTCGCTGCCTTCCCTTTTCTCTTCATGCTACCCTCCTCCCCAGCTCTGCATTTCTCATTTCTGTTTGGAGATGTCAGCCAGAAGGTGCAGGTCCTGAACTGTCTGAGTGTGTGTGCAAGACGTGGAGTGGAGGGGGTCCTGTAGACAACAGAGTGAATAGCTGTGTGGGTCAGGGATTCACAACGCCCATCTACTTTTTTCTGGCTTAACCTGAGCCTCTGATGCTTGGGGCATGGTAGGACTAAGGTCGAGAAAAAAATCCTGAAGGTAAGGAAGCTTCTCCTGAGCTCCATGTGCTGCCTTGTAAATCACAGCTGGGTGGAGAAGGCAGGGCTGATGTGTGAATGCCTGCATTCATCATTGCCCTCTCCTAATGGTACGATTGCTGAAGCTGAGATATTTGGGGTAAAAGTGGTGTTTTCTTATTTGACTAGATTTTAACTGTCTGATCGTTTAGTGCTAGTGAGCTGAGTGCTTTGTTGTTATGGTAATATTTTGATTTTTTTAATTAAGTATAGAAATTCTGGCATAAACCTTTTACTTACATGCAAAGAAGAAATGTTCCAAGGTCACTATGTTGTGTTTTATGGTGCATTTTTGCTGGCTCAGTCAGTCTGTCTCCTTTTTTTTTCCTCCCAGCCCTTTTTTTTTCTTTTTGTGTTTGCCCCACCCAAAATTCCTCAAAGTTAAACACAGAGGGTGTGAAGCTGACTCATTACTGGACTGAGAATGTAACTGAGGTTCATTGGTGTCCTAGGAAGGGGAATACTAATGCAGCTCTTCGTACTGCTTTGGTAGGTGCAAGTGAATTCCCCAGTGGAGCTTCAAATTCCTGTCAAAGGATAAGGAAGCTTGCCCCGTGCATTTCCATCCAACAAAGAGTAAAAGAGTGTGCTAAACAGTTCTAAAGGTTTACAGTACCAGCTACTGGAACTAACATCTAATTTACTTGTCATGCTATAATTATATTTTTTTAAAAAATCATACTCCTCCAGTCAAACCAATGTTATCTTCTTGGACAGCTGTTACTTTGCAAAATGATGTTTTATTGGATTTTTTTGCTGTGTAGCTTTAGATGACCTTAATTACAAATTAATACTCAAAAGCTTTGGATTTCTGTAATGACCACCCTGATGAGATTGATGAGAGGTTGTCTACTAGCCCAGATTTTTTAGGTTTGCCAGCCCTCTGTATTGCTTTTCCTGTTTTATGGTTTGTCTAGTGTGTTCCTGGAGGCTGCACGGTTAGCCCTACCTGCAGTCCTCATGGATTTGAATGGTATAGGGTTGAGTTACACTTTTAGATCATATGAGCTCATACAGAACTTGTGGAATGTTTTCTTGCCTACCCTCCAGGCTAAATGAATGGATGCTTTTGGTGAGCATCTCTTAATTATTGAATTCCCTTCCTTTGCACCATCGTAAGAAGAAATTAGCAATGTTGTGTTTTTTTAAAGGATGCCATCTGGAATATTGTTTCTGGTAGTGACATTTCTTAGGGTTCCTGGGTGTTTTGTTTTTCTGCATGTGCTTGATCAGAAAAGAGAGGGGTTAGAAAAATGAGGCAGGAAAAAAAAGGGTTGTCTTTGGGATTTTTAATAAAAATGAAGTGTATTACATAAATGAAATGACTGCAGCATGCTTTTTCTCCTCAGCTAACTTGTTACTGCTCATCTAGTAGAAGACCGTGGTTACCACGTTTTTTTTCCCCCTCTAGAAATGAAATAGGAATAAATACCATGTTACGCTTTCAGTCCCATTGGCAGCTTGTTAAGAATTAATGTTTCTCTCTTGCTTATAGTTGAAGCATCTTGTCATAATGGAGTTGAAACAATGGAAACAATCGAGGCTGCTGAAGCACTTCTCAATATGGATTCTCCTGGACCTATGTTGGATGAAAAAAGAATAAGTAAGTTTTTTATGCAAGGAAATCCCATCTGTGTTTGCCCTATTTGTTTATGAAAGAAGGAAGGATTCAGTGCAGCATGGCTGCATGGAATTAGTAAGATTATTTTGCTTCTGGGTAGACTTTATGTACCTAGTTTGGATATCAGAAATCCAGTGTTGTATGCAGTGAAGGATTTCATTGCCAGGCCAGAGATGAACAGGTAAGGAAAGAATCAAAGATTCTTCTTCCCCGGAAGAACTTCTTCCTGATATTTAATCTAAACCTCCCCACTTTCAATTTAAACCCGTTACCCCTTGTCCTGTCACTACAGGCCCTTGTAAAAAGTCCCCCCCAGCTTCCTTGTAGCCCCTTCAGGCACTGGAAGGCGCTATAAGGTCTCCCCGGAGCCTTCTCTTCTCCAGGCTGAACAAGCCCAACTCTCTCAGCCTGTCCCCATAGCAGAGGTGCTCCAGCCCTCTGAGCATCTTCGTGGCCTCCTCTGGACTCACTCCAACCAGTCTATATCCTTCTGATGTTGAGGGCGCCACAGCTGGATGCAGCACTCCAGGTGGGGTCTCAATATATTCCATTATGAGCTAGTAGTCTTTCCCATTAAGGCCTTAAGTGTCGCATTTTTATTTTATTTAATTTTTAATTTTTTTTTTTCCTGTGGAAAAATAGCTTTTAAAAGTCCTCATGGCTGTGTGAAAATATTTCTATTGTCCCTTTCCCTTAAGCAACTATGTTTGGCACAACCGAAGATGATGATATGGTGGCTCCTATTACACACGTGTCAGTCACGCTGGATGGGATCCCTGAGGTGGTGGAAGTTCACCAAGCCCCAGACGCTTATGCTGAATCACCAGAGACTCCAGAATTTGAACAACCAAAGAAGAAAAAAGGTAAGATGCTTCTGGAGAACAGCAGCGTGGAGTAGGAGAGCAGTGGGTGGCATGCTCACCTCCTCAGATTCCAGTGTCTGGAGTCATTCTGGGTGTCAGGTCAAAATAACAGAGTGCACTCAGCTAGAAATACAGGGAAAGTGTTTTCTTACTGGGTAGTGGGAGCACAGGTACCGATGCTTAGATACTAATGGTGCTGGAGAATTAGCAGTGACAGCTTATCCTGCAGGAAACATGAATCTCTGCTTGGTCCTGTTTGCAGTTTCTTTTTTAGAGCAGAATTGCAATAGAAGCTGTAGAGCTTTCGTTAATGTGAATCCTGAAGTCCTTTAATTAGCTGTTACTTAGCTTCAAGTAAAGATATTTGATTGGTTCAGAATATGGGATGAGAATGAGGAGGTTGTGGTTTTTGGTGTGGTTTTTTTGTTTTTTTTTTTTTAGCTTTTCTCAAATATGAATGGTTTAATTTTATATATTTTTTTTTAGATAGCTGCAGGCTATAGTAAGTGTTGGTCCCATTTCCAGTAGATAACATTTTCACAGTACCCACTGAGCGATGTTCCATTGGAGTTGATGCGGTGCCAAAAAGCAGTGAAGTGGTGTTAGACCTTCTGCTTCTGTTTTCCCACCCTGCTTCAGCGTGGGCTCCATCAGAGGTCCTGAAGCTGATGTCTGCTTCAGGGGGAAGAGGCATGGTCATGCAGTGTTGGCAATGCAAGGTGCTGTTGCAACAAATTAAAAAGAAAACCCAAGAAAAATAAACCAAGTGAGTTTCTGTAACTAATCCTAGCGCTGAATTGGAGCATTAGGACTTTGACAGGTTCCTTGGTGAAATAAAAACCTTCCAGAACAGGGCTCCTGCTTTTTTTCTGAATGAGAGTGCTTTTTTGCTACTATTTCCAAATGTTGGGGGTTGTTATCTTGAAGAGAGAGTGTATTGGCCTGTGGAGATCTTGGGGAAGGCTCCTTGGCCCCAGAAGTGTGTCACGGGTCTGGTAGGGATGGGTGTGGGTTGGGAAGTCTCTGATTCCCGTAAGAAAGCTGAACTGAAACTGCTGTGGAGGAGAGCTTTACCAGCAGCTGCTCTGAGAGTGCTGCTGGGGAAACTACTGTGTTGTGCACTCGACTGCAAGATAACCAGCCGTAAGAGGATTTTAAACTGTTTTGTTTTGTTCTTTTATTTTCTTTTCTTCTTCTTTTTAATGTTGCCTGTTATGTGGGTCAAAACAAGGAGCCTCTGTCTGCCAGACATGTAACCTCTTTGGCTTGATGCTTTCATACCCTCTTTTGTGTTGTGCTTCTGCTTACTCCCACTCCTTCCTCCTCCCTAGGTGTAGGTTAGAAAACAAATTGTTTCACAGAAAATGTGTGTTTGAGTTAGGTTGGATAAAAAAAACACTAGAAAAGATGCATCAGCTTGGTGTTTCATGAACTACTAGTTTTCAGTGAAGTTGAGACTTCATGAGGTAGCTGGTATGGTCTAAGTAATCCTGAAGTGTTACTTCCAAATGCCCAGCCAGGGGTTTGTAAGGCTTTGCTGTACAATAATTACTGCAAAATGTTATTGAAGTGCGATTCATTTAACTCCCTTTGGTCAGTTTTGTGGCATGTCGAAGGACTGTGGTTATTCTGCCCTACCCATACCACTCTAGCATACATAACCCATCAGCTAAACTTAGAGAGTTGCATCAGCTAACTGAGCCGGAATGGTGCTGCCAAGTAAATCTCCAACAAAATGTTCTCCAGTAGTGATGGGGTGCTTTAATTTCCTTTCCTTGTGGGCCTTATTGCTGCAGCAGGAGACCTGTACCCACCCATCTGCTCAACTCCAAACCCGTGTTCAGCATGATGTTTGTACTCGTGAATGTCTGAGCTGCTGAACTATGGATCAGAAAGACAGGAAAAACAAAGGGATGTCAGACAAAGAAACTTGGAAATTTGCTGTACTAATACCTCCATTCCCATTTTTCTTATGGGAGGTATCTGGCAGTAGGTATAACCTAAGTTTTATACACGTTATATTTTAGATATATACTGTTTATTATATTTTTACATAAATTATATATTTTTAAGCAAAAGCCACTTTAAAAAGTGCAAGTAAATATCTTGAGCTTTTCCTGGTATTGTATAAAATATTTAATCAGGATGAGCATCTCACTTCCTAAATGTCACGATAACTTGTAGCATGAATTTCTAACCTGAGCTGTTTTTGTCAACCATGGAATTAGGCAAGTGGAAATACCAATTATAAATTCAACTAGCTGTGCAAAATTACAGTAGCCCCACAGAGGGTTTAGCTTTTGCGCATTCTGCATTCTTCCTCTTTGTAAAATTCTCTCCTAAAAAGGAATTTAGTGATGTACTCTGAAAGGTAACAAATTCATGCTCTATTGAACCAAAGGAGGAAGTGTGCTAAGGTTTAATTTGCTTTCAGAAAACATCTTCTTTTAAACAAAGGAAATGTATCTTGTGTGTCTTTGTGTTTTTGATGGTATCACTCAGTGCCTGGAGATTGTAGCTCACGCTGCAGTCTAAAACCATCATCTTAAGTATCTCTAGCCCAGATATAGAGCAGTAACATCAATACCTTTCTGTAAATGAGTTTCACATTCTTCACTGATCACTAATTTTGGGTGGGTGTGTGGCAGAGAAGTAGTCTAGGCTGAGGTAAGAGAGCCTAAAATTAGTGTAATAGTAGCATTCATATTTAGTAGCCTAGGTTATCCCTAATCAGAAGTGCACGTTTCCGGAAGCTGACCAGTAGTAGTTCAGTCAGAGAGTCATAGAATCTTTAGTTTGGAAAAGACCTTTAAGATCATCAAGTCCAACCCTTAACCTAACACTGGCAAGTCCACCACTAACCCAGGTCCCTGAGCACCACATCCACACGTCTTTTAAATACCTCCAGGGATGGTGACTCAACCACTTCTCTGGGCAGCCCTTTCCAATGCCTGACAACCCTTTTGGCGAAGAAATTTTTCCTAATATTCAACCTAAACCTCCCCTGGTGCAACTTGAGGCCGTTTCCTCTTGTCCTATCACTTTTCACTTGGGAAAAGAGACCAACACCCATGTCGCTACAAGCTCCTTTCAGGTAGTTGTAGAGAGTGATAAGGTCTCTCCTGAGCCTCCTCTTCTCCAGGCTACACAATCCCAGCTTCCTCAGCCACTCCTCATAGGACTTGTGCTCCAGACCCTTCCCCAGCTCCGTTGCCTTTCTCTGGACACACTCCAACACCTCAGTGTCTGTCTTGTAGGGAGGGGCCCAAAACTGAACACAGGATTTGAGGTGTGGCCTTACCAGTGACCAGTATAGAGGGACAATCACTGCCCTATTTCTGCTGGCCACACTATTTCTGATACAGGCCAGGATGCCATTGGCCTTTTTGGCTACCTGGGCACACTACTGACTCATATTCAGCCAGCTATCAACTGACACTCCCAGGTCCTTTTCCACCAGGCAGCTTTCTAGCCCCTTGTCCCCAGGCCTGTAGCGCTACAGGGGGTTGTTGTGACCCAAGTGCAGGATGTGGCACTTGGCCTTGTTAAACCTCATACAGTTGGCTTTGGCCCATGGATCCAGATCCCTCTGTAGAGCCTTCCTACCCTCAGGCAGATCAACTCTCCTGCCCAACTTCATGTTATCTGCAAACTGTATTGAGGGTGCACTCGATCTTCTCTCCAGATCATTGATAAAGATGTTAAACAGAACTGGCCCAGCACTGAGCCCTGGGGACACCACTTGTGACCGGCTGCCAACTGGATTGAACTCCATTCACCACAACACTTCAGCAACCAACTTTTCCAGGAGAATGCTGAGCATTCTTAATATGACAGTATAGTTTGTTGCTGTCAGTGGAGACTTCCAATGTATTAAAGTAGCAGACAATCTTGGTATATCCCTAAATTCCATTTTAGTGATGAGTGAACCAGATAGCGCTCTGTATTTTATCTAGCTTTTCCTGTTCAAACTCTTGCTCATGGTTAATAGCTTATTCTTCTAATCTAATGTTTTAGGTGCTCATAAAGAGTACCACAGAAATTTCCATGGTAGACAGACTTTGGAAAAGTCAGCATAGTCTTTACTAGAAGTACACTAAGAGCATAGGGGATCCAGTCCTCCTGTAGAAATTGAAAAAGTGCAGCGTAGAACTTAGCTCCTGACTTAATAGAAATTGAATGCTCTCCGAATTGGGGAAACAAATTTCTTCCCTATTTAGGTCCTTGCTCTTTTTTATTTCCTTTTTTTAAGCTGCAGTTTGACTTACTGGTGGTTTATTTCAGGGAAGAAGCCAAAACCGTCTCGTCCCGAGTCCCCTACTACAACTCCAAACATATCTGTGAAAAAGAGAAACAAAGATGGAAAGGGTAAGTCAAAGAGTTGTCACTGAAAAAACATTGTTTCTGAGTGACCTGTAAAAAAGAAAACATTTGTGATTCAAAAAGAAAATGTTTGCTAATTTTCTTGTGATGTCAAAGCAGGTCTTGTGCTCAGGGGTAGTTAACATCTCTTCTTCAGGCAAGTGAAAAACGAGTGCACAAGATTTCGTGGTAAAATACCCAGTTCCTAGGGAGAATAACGTATTTGTCACTTTAGCAGGAAGGGTTCTTGGAAACTCTTTGAGCCCCCCGCAGAGGCTGCTGTGTTTTGAGTGAAGTCTTGAGGAGTGCTTTGCATTGTATAAGGGTTTCTTGGACTGTCGTTATTTTGACAGATGATCTTTGAAAACGTTTTCCATCTGTGTGTGTCTAATTCTGCTTGGGGAGCTAATCCAGGCTGCCAGTTGGCAGCAGGAAGTACCAAGCCCTGAATTTTGAGAAAAGTTACAACACAGCTTGAAGGCTCGGGCAGAAAACTTGGCGTTTTGATACTTCTTTCATTCCTCCTGTGTTTAAAAGGAAGAAATAAAATAAATAACCACATAACTGATACAATAAATCATTTCCTCCAGACTGAAGCATTCAGTTTTGTCACCAGCTCGGTTGATTTGCTCTTGGGTGCAGCACCCGCGCCTGGGTTGGCGTTTGAATGGCAGCCTGATGCCGGGCCCTCCTTCTGCTGCGCTCAGCAGGAGCTGGCAAGGAGCTTCCCCTGTGCCACCGCAAGTGCCTGCCTGCCCGCCTGGGGTACTTCCCCCGAGGGAAGCCAGCCAAACCTGTAAGGTGGGGGACATAAGAATGTCAGCCTCCTTTGAAATTGGGGAAAATCGCCACACTGAAAAATGAGTATGGGTGGGATTTTTTTCTTTAAAGAGAGATTTTGCTCAATAACGGGAAATAAAGGCCTGTTTGCAAACAATAAATATTTAACAGGTTAATGCCAGCAATTTTGAGTATGCTTTTTTGCTGGGGGGTTTATTTATTTATTATTAAACCCTGATTTTTAAGTAAAAATAGAAAAAAACAGTAGCAGAAGAACCCCCAAGTAGTGCTCAAATGAGCTAACAGAAAATATTGAAGCAGCTAGCCACAAAATTAAAAGGCAAAAGAATCTAATGTTTCTGTCGACGATAGTAGGGCTACCTCATATTTCACATTCGCCCGTTGTTACAAAATTGCTAAATCAGAAGGAATTAAAAAAGACTGTGTTGCCCAAAACCACTGCCTGTTATGAAAAATGCTGCCACAGAAGCATTTGTAGCATTTTGAGGAACATAGTAGTGAAAGGGATGTTAATACAACCAGCCCTGGCAGGGAAGCAGCTGGAAAATCTTGAATGTTGCCTGGCTCTCAGTATCCGCCGTGTTCCCCTGAGGGGAACACATATGCTGAAATACCACACCCTCCATATAACAATTGGATGTGATGTATGGAGAAAACTTAGTTTCTACGAATTTCTTCTTCTGCTGTGACTCACTGGAGATTAAGAATTCTGCCTGTGAGTAAAGCAGACATGCAGACAATCCTCTTCACAGCAATTTTCAGTGGCTAAAACAGTGACAGATTTTGAGACTGCCTTGATGTGGCTGAGCATTTTTAGTCTAGACTACAACAAAAGCATCCAGGATTAGGTGGTAAGTGGCTGGGAATGCTCTCACTCCTGGCTGACATTGTGCCTTGCTTAAGCAGTCTTAACCTTTGCCTTAAGTTTGATGTAAGCTGGGAGACATTTGTTGCCAAAGGCAGTGTTTTTTCTCTAGGGATGCTTGCTTTTCAAGTTTCCACCTGCCGAAGGAGCTGTTAACATTTTGTACTGCCAGTGCTGACAACTTTGCTGAATATTTGCAAAATACAGATTGTAATACAGTAGTATGGGAGCTGTGATTTCTGAGACACCTCCTTTTGTTGAAAAAAAGTTCAGACTGGGCGTTACTCAAGTCGAAAAAACGGCTGGGTTAAATTGAAGCTAACAAAAGAGATTCTGTCACCTTCTGGTGCACTGGGCATCACTTACTATGCAACTTCATAGAATCATAGAATGGT